ACACCCAGTGATTAAGCCCTAGCCTGTTAAAGAGTTGAAACATTTTTATTGTTTTAATATTGAAAGAAATAAGCATATGGGATAATAGTTAAATTCGATTGACAGCTAAAAAATCAGGCTTAGGATTTTAAGAAGTAGCTTATCTCTGTTCAGTAGTGCTAACAGTTGTTAAAACAAAGCAAGCAACATTTACTGATATACATTACTCTTGAGATTACAACAAATTACCTTTGAAAACATCTGTTTATTACTTTTAAAGCTAAATATCTGAATGCAATTGGATTATTTATATGTTTTTTTACATTTGCAGGAGGAAGAAACTGTGAATAGGTCTCCCAGAAATAGAAAACCAAGAAGAGATTGAAATATCCTAAAAACTTAATCTGATGAATTTTTCTGATATGGTTTTGGGAGAGGACCATGGATAACATTTTGCTGAAAATCGAAAATCCTCAAAATTCACCATCCATAGGTTCCTGTCAAATACTCTGCATTGAAAAGTGTTTAGCAGTCAAATATTTGCAATTGTGTTTCTAAATAATATTCCTGTAGAAAAGGAATGCATTTAACACAACCAGGCTATGAATTTCTGGAATGTTACAAAAACTAACATTTTTATTTTGTTTTTAAATAGATGGTAGAATTACCAGTCTCAAAAATTTTGGCTTAAATTAATGTGTTAATCTATCAATGGAAGTGAAGAGCAAACCTTAAGAAAAATGCCAGATGTAAACTTTTTATAAGTCTTTTCTTTCTTAAAAAGATAGAAATTCTTACACAATTCTTATTTCTCATAGTATGATCATGTTAAATGTAGGATAAAGTTAAAATCCATTTGAAGCAGTCTTCAAGTGCTCAAACTTTCCTTATTGATGAAAAGCAAGTGGCCATGAAATACTCATATGGGTCACGGATACAGCTCAGTTAAAACAGTGTTTGCACTAGTCTGAATTTAGGAGCAGATTTTAGTGAGACTGGATTGTCTTGTTCATTTATATTTTGAACTTTTTCTCAATTTGGAATTTGCTTTCAGTTTTTGTGCTCCCCCCCCCAGTTTTTTTTTAAACATTTCCTTCTGTTCCAACTGTTGCTTCTCCTGTACAGTTTTTTCAGACGCAGCTTAGCTGCTGGAGAATACACTTGTTTAGCTCACTGTTAAAATTGTGTTTCTTGTTCTCAGAAGGTAGCAGTACTTACTTCTGGGTCCAAACATTGTGAAACAGGACAGTGTTGCTAATCTTCTTATTGTTGCCATCTTATGTTCATTATTCACAGGATAAAAGGCACAGGCAAGCTGATCTTTCAAGTTTTATTTGTGCTGAAAGCAAATGTCAGTATTTGTAGCTGAGGAATAAGCATGTGAAAACTTGGCATATGTAACATTTTGAGTCTTCAGTGCTCTTTGTGTATCAAAAATGTTGTGAATCTAGGGGGTTCCAGATGAATAAATTTTTAAAAAATATATTGCATTGAGTATCTAGATATTCAGAAATCTTATGTAGAATACAGAGTGTTTCTAAGAAAAGCATAACTCACTATATTATATTGAAGTGCATGATTGAGGAAAGCGAAGAAGAAATATTTTGCCACCTGTTGTCCTTTATTTAAATATATGGCACTGAATTAAAACACTCCCAGTTTCTATCTGGTGGGTAAGAATTTTTCAGAGTAACTAAGCTTTTACACTTTTGTTCAGATATTCAGATATAAGTATATACATAGCTTTTTCAAAACAAGACTAACATTTGTCTTGCTGGTTATTTTGCTTTTAGAACCCTCAGTTCTGTTATCTTTCCAAAACAGCACAATTATCCTCATTCGAAGCTACAGTGCTTGCAGCCTTTGGCGTGCATTCCAGCATCATTCCTTGCACATCTATAGTAGTTGTGCAAGAGTTTTTATTTTTCTCCTTGTGTCCTCCAGAGAGCTGCATAAATTCAGCATCCATTCCACTGGTAGATTCAACTTGATACAGTCAGTGGCTTGCTCCCATAGTTTCTTTCTGTTGTCAAGTCAGGATGTTTAAATGAAATTATTCCCCCTAGTTTCTTCTATTTTTTTCTACATCATTGACTTGCAGTGGCTATTTAATACTAGTACTAATTTTAATGTGCTTGGGTTAATGTTTTTTGATCAACGTCTTCACTTTTTGTGAAACATATAGTCCTTTCTCCAGGATACTGGGAAGAATGAATCTGAACTCATAAGACCTCTTCAGAATACTCCTCCATTTGCATGTTTTAGCCTTTTTTCATGTTAGTGAAAATGTACTTTTTTAAATGCCCAGTGTAACCTGTGAAGCCTTATTAAGACTACTTAGTACTGGGAGAAGATTGTCATCTGCTATTTAAGAATAATAAAGCAAAAAATTAATATAAAAAGTCATTTGTAATTTCCAAGTAATTGGGGTGTTGAATTGGTAACGTAATAGATGGTTTTAAAAAGACTATGGAAAACCATTCCGATGCAGGAAATATTTTTACACCAACATAGTTGAACTCTTAGTTGGAAAGAAATAGACTTAAAGTAGACTTAGGAAATGTTCTAAAGAATTTTAGAATGAATAAGATAATTTGACTACTTCTGTTTGGAAAAGAAAGTGCACTGTAGCCATTTCAAATCAGTCACAGTTCATATGCTACATATGAAGATACAAATGCTTTAAAGAAAGATAAAGATCTTAACTGAATGTGTATTCTGTCTTAGGACACTTACCCCATTTCATATGGGAATGTTATGGTTGACAGAAGAGCAGAACATAATTAACCATAAATGGCAAAAGGTATCCTAGATCTCCATAATGTGGCCCAGCTCTCCTGTGGCAGTAAATGTGGTGCTAAGAATACACTTCTTTGCACCTCCTTGCCTTCTCTATTACAATTTTCTAAATGCCAGTATTGTTTGATGCAGGGTTCAGGTGTTGGTAAACAAGATTGTGACTTAAGTCCTGACTGTTGTAAAAATCTGAAGATGCAGTATGCATATAAATATATTGGTTAAGTTATAAACAAATGTAAGCTTACTTGATCAATAAAGAAACATAGATCACTATTTTTCTACTGTCTAGTCTGCAATATTATTTTTGGTTGGCTTTCATAATTTAAAGACAGAAGAGTTGAGAAATGTTCCTTCAGAATTAATACTCTGTTGTGTAAAAATTGAACAATATCCAAAATGCAAAGTGATTAATTTGTCTGCATTCTATTTTAAATGTCCTACTGAGAATATTTTAACTCAGGATTGTTAAAGTAAATTTAAAAGGTATGAATAATACCATGTTGAGGTAGTACTTCCCAATTGGTTTCATAGTGAGCATCTTGCTTTTAGAAACCTAAGCCTTCATGAAATGCGTTAATCTTTCTGAAGTGTTCAAAGTATACAATTTCATATCACCGTTTATGACCTTGTTTTAGTATAACATGCACAATTTCAATATGAAAATTGACTACCATAGAAAATACTTTAATTGATACATAGGACAGATTTGATTTATACAGCACATATTTCTAAGATATGAACCATTAATTATAGAAGAAATGGAATGATTAAAGGTGAGTAGTCTTTCTTACATTTCAAACTTTTAGCTAGTTATAAATTTGCTTCCTGGAGTATTTATGACTTCAAAATTATGCTGGGATGGCTTGGCGCAAGTTTGTATGCCAAAATTATTCTATTTATTTAGGATATTTTTTATGAAATAAAATAGTCTTCATTGCAGAAATGTTATGAAATGTCCTAAGAATGTGATCTTAAACCTTTCAAAAGTTGTTTGTATATTAAATGTGTAAGATACTTTTCCTTAAAGTAACAAATACCAATCTGCTGGCAATAAATTGCTTCATTTGATCCAATAAATTGATGGATTCATTCTTTTTCCAACTTTAGGTTTAAACACACAAATGTTCACTAAATATCATATTGTAACATAAATCACAAATAATATGCTTAAACTATAAACAGCACTAAAGCTTAGCAATTTAAAAAGTCTAATTTATAGAAAAGCTGGAAGTTATATAAATATACCTATACCTACCTATTCAAGAGTTGACACTTTCACTAGTATGTGTTTGAAAATCTGGCAGCATGTACAGATACTTGCACATTTCCAAATGTACGTTTGCTTTTCCCCCCACCAAACATACAAAATAGTTTGCATTCTGGCCTGATCAAATTCCTTGCTGGTAGCTCGTTTTTGAGGATGTTGGATGGTTTTTTGAGTCAGTGTCAACTGATGTACTTTAGCCATCTGAGCGGAACTGCACCATCAAGCAAGAGGAAAAGAAACCGTTTTAGTATTTTTGTGCTTTCCGATTAGAGATGAAAACCTTTTTATTTTTCTCCAATTAGCATTGTTTATGTTATTCCGTGAGTTAATCTAAAACTATTCTCAGCGCCCAGGATTGTTGAAAATTGGGGGCACTTCATTATTGTCGGGAAAAGCATTACTATATTACATAAACTGATTAGTACCCGTAATAATTTTTGGAGTGATTGCGTTTTAAGAAGACACAGACTTATGTTATTGTTTTACACTATGTTACCCGTTAGTCCGGCAAAGAAAACTTAAATCAGTGCAAACTGAATACATGGAAGAATCCACTTAAAATGGCAGTTTCCTTAATTTACAGGAAAGGCTGGTGAGAATTCAAACGCTTGGTTCGGCCTTTATTGCTCATTTGCATATTTTCAGTGTAAAATGAGAGTACCCAACTACCGTTCAGTATTTACTTTTATGTATTGCTACACTTATTGCCCAATACGTATGCGAGGGGAAGGCCTATAAGTTTCAGCCATCCCAGCATAAGCTGCATACGGGGACATTTTTCTGTCAATCATAAAACTCCGCCCCTTTACTTTTCCGGAAAGGTCGTAGAGAAGTGGGGGGAGGAGAGAAACGGAAAGGGAAATCCCCTCCCCCAGCTTTTCCCTGCCTTTTTCTTTTCCGTTCTCATCTCCGATTGGCTCCTTGAACAGTCTGTTAACGCCTACTGCCAGTGAGTGTATGCGCCGTGACGTCTGCCATTACCTAGGAAAGTCCAACCGCTCTGGACTGGGCAGGCTCCCAAGTGGGAGAGAAAAGGGGTAAAACAATTTCAAGATGGCGGCGGCTGAGGCGTGGATAACAATGGGAAACGGGAGGTGTAGGTGGCTCTGTGTCTGAGCTAGATTGGGGCAGGGGATTGAAATCACCCGGCCTGCATCGGGAAGGCGGGCTCGGTCGGGTCGGGCCGCGTTTGGGCGCCCCGGCCTGGAAAAGGTATTGGTCACGGCTGAAGAGGGAGAATTGGGCTCCGAAGTGCCCGGTGTCCCTCGCCGCCAGCTATGGCGGAGTGAAGAGCCGGCTATTCCGGTGCTCTCGTTTTCGCTGGCGGCTCATGGTTCTGCCCCCTTGCCCCATGGCGGAGTTCGTGGTGTCGCAGCACAGCGCGGTGATGGAGCGGCTCCGCCGGCGCATCGAGCTTTGCCGGAGACATCACAGTGCCTGTGAGTCCCGCTACCAGGCCGTGTCCCCGGAGCGCCTGGAGCTGGAGCGCCAGCAGACCTTCGCCCTTCACCAGCGCTGCTTGCAGGCTAAGGCCAAGCGAGCGGGGAAGCACCGCCAGCCGCCCCTTCCTCCCCCCACTGCGCCACCTCCAACAGCTCCTTCGCATCCGCCTTCCTCTGCTCCGGGCCCTGGGCCCGGGGCCTCTGCGTCTACCTCCACTTCTTCCGACAGGCCTGGAGTCAATGGCCTGGATAGTGACACCGCGGGCGGTGAACAGCAACAGCACGGCCGTAGCAGCGCCCTCATTGCGGTAAGATCCAGATGTCGGGGCCTGGATCAGGGCAAGGGTTTGTTTTAGCTCCCAGACGCCCCATCTCCCTTAAAATAAATTGTGTATTTGTAGTCTGAAGTTAGGCGGATTCTTGTTTGTCCCTATATTAGCATACTTTAGAAAAGTTGTGAAACTTTTAAAATTGAAAGCGTATACACTCCTGTGGGTATGGTTTTTCTTCATGTTAAATTTCAGAACAGTAGCAATAACATTTTTTCCCATCTTCCATTCTCTTAACCTCTGTAGCGAAAAATAATTTAATCACTGTTTGTGCTTGTTTTACTTATGCATATTATCTCTTCACTTTGCTGCCCAAACAATTTAAAATGGCCTTTGAGGGTTTTTTTAAGAACTTGAAGAAAAATAAACACATGGGTATTGTGGGATATCTTTTTATGGAATCATGTAACAGCAAATAATGCATAATGGCTTTTATTTCCTTTACTTAGATTCAAATCTTTCCTCAAGGATCCCAAAGTGATTCACCTGGGAGTTATTTTGGTTAATTTTACCACAATATGAGCAGTAGATTTGTCTAAAAAGTGTATCTGCTCCATAGTTGCTCATTGACAAAATGATCTGAACCTCTTCTGGTTTTTTTTGCACTAGAAAGGCTATAAAGTAGGGTATATATTACTAACATCTTGAGAATATAAACAGAAAACAGAAATGAAATGTCTGCAGGATTTTCTGGGAAATTTAGTTTCCTTCTTATAGTGTTCTAAATAAATAATATCTTTATAATAGTTTGCTGGAGTAAATGTTAAGGCTGCTTATGCCTGTCCTTTAAACTAGAATTTAAAGATTTATTTGAATTTTTCTGCATTAGCATATATTAACTTTTTTCTGGGTTGCTAGAGGAGCCGTGCTATTTAATCCAGAACAATTAGGGAGGGTTGGTTATCTACAGCTACTTTATTGTAGTTTGTTATCTCAGACAATATACTTGTTTATATTACATTGTCATTTTGAACTATTTACCTTTGAGTTAAATATACTAGAAATTGAGCAAATTCTGTCAGGTGGTTTTTTTTTTAAATTATACAAAAAATATAAGATTGTCTTTTAGATACTTAGGTATTCTACTTAAAATTGTTAATTCATGTGGCAGTGCTTTAGGATCCAAGCCTTCAGCATGTTTTCCAGAAGAATATTTAAAATTTAATATCCATAAATACTGGAGATAGAATATCCAGGCATTTTATTGATCAATGTCTTCTCTAAATTTAATCAAATTTATTTTGGAATTGGAGGACTCATGTAACGTCTGTACTATATTAACAGCACAACTCAACATAATTCAGAATACATTGAAAAAGTGGAAGGCTGTTAATTTGTTAAAAATGGATTACAAGTAAAGTCCTATATTCTTCCTGTCAGAAGTGAAGGAAATATGCAGGAAAAGTGGAAATGAGCTGGAATGGCTGTCTGTGCGTTTAAAGCATGTAAAGTTATCTTTATGTTAAAATAGGGTACAAGAAGGGGGAAAAGTTTCCTCTGTCATTTTAAATTGTGATCTTTTTATATGGTAGAATCAGAGGTTGTCTGATCTATTACTTATTTCTTTGTATAATGTGCCTGGAGAAAGAGTGGTCACAGTCCAAATGATTGGTCACATTAATTTTTATTTGACAGTAAAATTATATGTGATTTTTTACTGGCTTGAAAGTTGTTCAGGTTTTTTTCAGTGGTAGCTTTCTGAATTGTTTATATTTTATAGTTGCTTAAGAGGAAAACAAAACAAAATGTAATAATACATTTTATAAAGTTAATGTAAGATAATCAGTGTTAAATAGACTAGTCATATCTTCAGAAGAAAACAACTCTCTGTCTGGATTCCTTTAACAGAGATTCATGCATTGAGCAGATTGTTAAATTCAGTGGCCTCTTCCAACCCTATAATTCTATAATCCACACTGGAACAAGCAGGCCTATCTAGTTCAGCTATTCTGTGTCACACAATGACTTACTAATTCTGTTCAGGATTTTTTCCCCTATATATTTATATAAGTATAAAGTGTGTGTGTGTGTTGTGTGTGTGTGTAAATATATTCATTTTAAATATTCCTGTCATTGGTCAGGATTTCCAGACTTGTCTGATATAAATACTCAACTTATTGGTACTACCTTGAATAACCCACACGAGAATATTTAAGAGTATTACAGCCTCTTGAATCTTGAGATGTTGAATTTTTCAGTAAGTGATATCTTGGGAAAAGTGAATAAAACCTGACTAGATTATATATTCTCTGTACATGATACTTGTTTTTAATGTAGCATTCAACAGTTTGAAAGTGCTACATCCTTTAATAGTAAAGTTTAGGCTATGAGTAATATTACGTATCAGTGTTATTTTATTCATTTGCTGTTGTGGTTAAGGTGCTGGCCTAGAAACCAGGAGACTGAGCTTTAAGCCTGCCTTAAGCATGAAAGCCAGCTGGGTGACTTTAAGCCAGTCATTCTCTCTCAGCTCCATCTACCTCATGAGATTGTTGTTGTGGAGAAAATAAGGGCAGGAATATTAAATATGTTTGCTGCCTTGAGTTGATCAAGCTATATATATTTGAAAAATTGGAATAAAAATGTCATAATAATAAATGTTTTATTATTAAAGTATTATTGAAAAATGATGTCCATAATTGGTAAATCTGACTTAAATTTAAAAGAAATTGGCCTCAAATAATAATATAAAGAAAATATCACAATTCTCTTTCTGTTAACTTTTCAGAATGCTTAATACAGAAGATAAATTCAATATTTTATTATGTGCAGTACATACAGTCTCTTACATACGAAAAGGTTTTATTCTGAGAAGTTTTTCATAAGTACATTTTGTTCTCACGTCAATAAGCATAAAAATTTCATAGTTCAGTTCAGTACTGGGTGGCAATTTAGTAGGCTTAGGAGGCAGGTCATGAGAAGGCAGGGAAGGTTTCTGGCACATAGCATACCTAAGCTATGTGCCAGAAACAGGCCCTTTCCCACCTTCTTTTCCCACCTTCTCCCACTTCCATCCAGGGCTCACTGGACCCATCAGGTTTGGCTTCAATGCTGCCATGCGTGGAATGAGAACTGTGTTGCAACTCCAACCTAGAGGGTCTGGGAATCGGGAGAGAACAGGAAATAATTGGTTTTTTGCACACTGCATATGTATGCTGTGTGGTGGAAGCTAGCCCTTTCCTGCCTTCTCCAATCTCTGAATGTGGACAGATTAGTTTGAACTGGCAAAAATTCAAGTCTGTAGTCAGATATCTGATAATTTTATATTAGAAAAGAAAATAATAAAATAAAGCTGGAAGGGGCCTTGGAGATCTTCTAGTCCATTCCCTTGCTCATAGGAGACCTACCATTTCAGACAAATGGTTGTCCAATCTCTTCTTTAAAACCTCCAGTGATGGAGAGCACCCATGACTTCTAGAGGCAACTTGTGTTCCTCTGGTTAATTGGAGAAGGGTCCTATAGGCAGGCATCCTCTTCCCCTTTACCAAGCTGCCTTATCTTGACCGGCAGCAGCTCCTAGCCCCACAGACACTCACCCACCCATCCTCAGCATGCAATGATGCAATACAGTCTGGGGGGGCAGGTTTGAAAGTTTATTGACATGTCACTGTAAGCCACCTCTGCCCGATAGGGGGGGCATAGTTTAATAAAAAAAATTAAACTTCTATGCTGTGCATGATGGTTTACCTGCTCCCCTCCAGCAGCAATTCCCAGTAGCTGACCCCAGGTGACACTCGACACTCTCCTAATTCAGGGTCTGCCTCAAGGAAGCCATGAATTCCCAGAAGGATTCAGGCCGGCTCAGCCCTGGCAGGCAAGGGCACCATGACCCGGCTCCAAGGCACTCTTCGCACCATTGCTAGAGACCCCAGCGAAACGGGGCAGGTTGAGGAGTCTTTTCGTTGCCCTCCCAGCGGAGTTTCGGGGCTGGGACTTCGCCATCAGAACTCCTGCTTGCCTGCCTGACTCCGGTGTGCATCTGTGGGGGGGACCCAATGCCAACCCCTCACCCCAGGGCCGTTCCACCTCATGGGGAAGGGGAGAGAAACCCCAAAGCAGGCTGGGGAGAGAGAGAGGGGGCGTAGAACAAAGTAAGCTATGCTGATAGATATTCTAATGACAAATAAAGTGCCACCCCAATTGAAATGACAAACTCTAAACAACTTGCCTTGAATCCAGAGTTGTCTTTTTACTGTCTAGAGAACATTACTCAGAGCTGAAACTTTGTTCCAATCACTGATAGATCATCTCCTCATTTAGCAATTGCAATGCATACTTTAAATCAGAAGCAAAACAGAAAATAAGCAAATGTGATAGAGAGAGACAGAGAGAGAGAGATGATCACTGGTTGCTATCATCTCATTCATATAAAGTTCACTTGTGCAGTAGTGCCAGTGTTACTCTTATTTCAGTGTACTTTGTCAGGTGCACAAAATCTGGTCATTATTGTGTGAATTGACTAAAAATACTTTTTATTATTATTACTATCATATTTGTGAATAGTCACTGAATGAGGCAGCCACTAAACAAAGAATCATTCCAGATGATTCTTGAATTTTCCAGAGAAGATATTGGAAAAACACTTTTTCCCCATGATAAGTGAATTCTGTTTGTGGGAATTTAAAATCCAAAGTGTTCACATTTTTTTTTTTTAGAAAAGCTAGTACATTTTTGGCATGCTAACAATTATTGAAAATTCTGCATAAAGAACAATGAAAATGTTACTTTGTATTTAACATTTCAAAAATGAACTCTTGATATCCAACTTTTACCGTTTCTTAGTATAGGGACCATTGTTAGATTGCATTTTTAGGAAGAAAAATCTATTCTTAACTTGCTTTATATTAGAAATATCAGGAAAAGAGCACTGATGTACTATGTGACTAAATAGGCTGGTCAACAGACAACTGGTGAAGCGAGCACAGCAACGCCTGCATTTTCTTCATCGCATGAGAAAATCACATCTTCCTTCCCCTATC